GACAGCATCTGCTTAAGATATTCTGACACATAGGGTGGACAAAATGGCTTTGTTATATATAAATCTAAGGGAACACACTTAAAGCCAGGAGTCAACAGACTTAAGTTTGAATGCTACCTGTTCCTTTCTACCTGTGTGGTCACATCAGCTCACCTCCCTGAGTCTTCCTTTCTTTGATCTAAGGATACTGTTTACCTACCAGGGTGGTTCTTTGAAGTGAATTGACACCGTGGCTATGGTGCAAACACAACAGAGAAAGAGAATGGAACAGGGTCAGGCAGGATTTCATCTGGTTATACGTGGGGTTTTTGAGTGGAGCTGACTCCATGGCACCCAAAAGCAACAAGAACAAAGTTGTTTGGAATAAGAATAAGAATTTATACTCCTTTTATACTTTCTTAAGTACAATTTCTAATATCTTTAAAAAGTATATTGTGTTGTTATGTGCTGTCGAGTCACCTGCGACTCATAGCAAAGCCATGTACAACAGCCCTAAACCGTGCTCTTATCCTGTGCCAATCTTACTGTCTCCGACACACCTACCCCCAATACCCCAGTCACTGAAACAATCCATCTCATCAAGTGTCTTCCTCTCTTGCGCTGTCCCTCCACCCTGCCAAGAATGACGTCCCTCTGCAAGTACGTCTTGCAACATGTCCAAAGTATGTCAGATGAAGCTCCAGAATCCTTGCCTCCAAAGAATAGCCTAGTCTCACCCTCTCTAGGACAAACCTGTTTGTTCTCCTAGCAGTCCATGGTATATTCAATACCCTTCTCCAGCACCACAGCTCAAAGGCATCAATTCTCCTTCTATCATCCCTACTCACTGTCCAGCTTTCTGATGCATAGCAAGTAATTGCAAAGACTATGGCCTGCATCTAGAATGCAAATTTTGGGAACAGAGAAGGATCAGTAGTTGGAAAACATGGACTTGGTGAAGAAATGAAACTGAAGATAAGAATGATAGAATTTTGTACCATCAATGACTTATTCATCACAAATACGTTTTATAAGAAACATAAACGGAAGGGGTGGTGCATGCCCGTGGAGGAAGAGGGTGAAGATGTAGATGCGGCTCCTAGCACCCTGGGGGCAGCCCTCAAGCTGCCTCCTGCCCAGGCCTGGCACCACCTGCCTCCATGCTACGCTGACGCAGGCTGTGCAGGGCCACGGGACGCTCACAAAGAAGACCCAGAGAGCATCCTGGACGAGCACGTGCAGCGGGTCCTGCGCACACCCGGCCACCAGTCCCCCGACAGTGGGCACGCAGCCAGGCTGCCTGCCACAGTGGGCAGTGCAGCTGGGCACGGCAAACACACAGCCAAGACAGGGGCCAAACTGGACACAGCCAGTCTGTTCCACCACCGGCACACCCATCACCATGTGCACCATGGTGCTGCCAAATCAAAGGAGCAGATTGAGGCAGAGGCTGCCCGCCGTGTCCAGAGCAGCTTCCCGTGGACTCCAGAGATGCACAGCTATGCCACCAAGCCACTCAGTTTCCCAGAAAATGCAGGGGCAGCTCCCGCAGCTGCTCCTGCCACTGCTGCCACCACCACTGCAGCCGCCACCACCGCAGCCACCGCCACCCCTGCTGCTACTGCTGCTGCCGCAGCAGACAGTCTGGGCTTCAGTGGGAAAGCAAACGTGTCCAAGAGGCCTGTCAAGAAGGTTGAGGTGGGCCGGGGTGCAGCCACCTCGGAGGTGCCAGGCTCACCCGAGGGCGTGGAGAAGACACAAACTATACTGCAGTGGATCATTGAAGGCGAGAAAGAGATCAGCAGACACAAGAAGGCTGGTCATGGGCTTTCTGGAGTCAAGAGGCAACAAGCCCATGAAGGCACCAGGGCTCTGTCCATTGAGCACCCTGGGGCCGTGCACCCCTGGGTCAGTGCCCAACTTCGGAACTCTGTCCAGCCTTCCCACCTCTTCATTCAAGACCCCACCATGCCTCCCAACCCGGCACCCAACCCACTGACCCAACTGGAGGAGGCACACAGGCGGCTGGAGGAGGAGGAGAAGTGAGCCAGTAAAGTGCCGGCCAAACAGAGGACAAAGTCTCAGAAGAGAGTGGGGGGTGCGAGCGCCCCGCCACCCGACAGCATTGTGGTGGCCTACTACTTCTGTGGGGAGCCAATTCCCTACCGGACTCTGGTGAAGGGCCGCGGGGTCACCCTAGGCCAGTTCAAGGAGCTGCTGCAAGAAAGGCAGCTACAGATACTATTTCAAGAAAGTGAGCGACGAATTTGACTGTGGCGTGGTTTTCGAGGAGGTGCGAGAGGACCAGGCCATGCTGCCCATCTTTGAGGAGAAAATCATCGGCAAAGTGGAGAAGGTCGACTGACCACAGGTGCTGGCCCTGGGGGCAGGAGC